AGGTGAGGTGGTGAGGTCAACCCCCTTGGTGAAGGTGGTGAGGTCCACCCCCTTCCTCCCCTCTTTGGGGAGGAAGGGGGGCCCTATATAATCTCACCGGCGTACGTCACGCTCACGAATTTGCATCATCGCGTCGTTTACGATGACTTACGATGACTTACGACGGCTTACGACGGCTTTCGTTCCTCTATTAAAGAATCCAATTAAAATGCTTGGTCTGATTACAGACGGCCGGTTGCCAGCAGCTGATGAATCGATCGAGTTGTACACCAGCCCATCCCTCCCATCCAGCCTGCCTTTTCTCAGACTCGTTCGTGAGTCTCACGACTGTCGTAAGTTCTACGACGGCCGTAAGTTGCTTCGCATGTCCTACGACGGCCGTAAGTTGCTTAGTAGGTCCTACGTCTGTCGTAAGTTGTTTCGTAGGTCCTACAACATGCGTGACTTCCTTTTTTTATTCTACAGCAACTGGAATTTTCCTTTGTAGGACCTACGATGGCCGTAGTTTCCTTCATCTGTCCTACGACGGCCGTCAGTCCTACGACGGCCGTAAGTCCGACGACGGTGGGGGGGGGTTCCTGAAGGGGGTCTCGGGGGTTCCTTATGGGGGACTGCGTTAAGGGCTCCCCCCTCCAGCATCAACGTGTTGATGCTGGCGCTGGTTGCTTTGGCACGAGGATTGAACCACGTTGCTTCAGTCAACGTTGTTTCAGTGTTGCTTTTGCAACGTTCTTTCAACTTTAGGATTGCTTGGCTTTGAATCTCCTTCATATGGCAGTTTGTATTAAAAAAATTTATATGACGTAAGAATATAAGCTACGTACTCCTACAGCGTAAAATTAAACGTCGTTTGGTTTAATCAAGGCTAATTCAACGGTGAAGCTACGCCTTTTGCGCGGTGGGTCAGCGGCTATAGGACGTCATGGCGACTAGTCTGCATGTACAAACATTAATTAGTGTCTATAATGTAGCACAAACACCAATGTATATGCGCAGTGATGGCGGCACCGAGATGAGAGGAGCTACTCGTGGGTTCGAGCCACGGATACTCAGTTAATTTACCAGTGTCGCTGGAGGGCGGCGCTTGGTGGCTGTCAAAGGTGGTGCTTGCAGCATGACATTGGGCTAGTCTCCCTAAAGGAACTTTGGTTACTTGTTACCAGGGGGATCTTATGGTGGAGCAATGGGGACAGAGAGACCTGAAAGTGGGACGCTGCACACGCTACACACTCTACAATCGTTGCAAGCGCTGCATGCACACTCTGCACAGGCCGCATGTGTGACTCTGCACACGCTGCACACGCTGCACACGCTGGGTCCCGCGGGTGCCATTACGCTGAGGCTGAGCGGACTCTGATCGACCCACGCCAGCAGAGGAGGCGAGAGCCACCCATTGTGTGATGTGTAGCGGTGTGTGTTTGTGTGTTTTTGCTGGTGTATGTGTCCATACTGGAGTGGTATTAGGATCGTGTGTTGCTGCTGGTCTGTGTTAGTGTCATGTGTTAGCATCACGTGCTAGATATTACAGTTTTTGTGCATTTGGAATGTGAATTCGCTTATTTAATTATGTTAATTTTGAAGCAATTCATAATTTTTTAATTTAACTTCAGTAAAGTTTTCAGTTCGGTGTGAAGGCGAACAGCTGAATGATGTGGCAGCGTAGTTTGTTTTCCAATACAACATCTCCTGCCTGTGGGCTCAGCCTTATTGATGTATGAGAAGCGCGACGACACACCGTTTTACCTGATACGCAACATGCAACTCAATATTTGTAAACTAAAGAAAATAAAAGTATCCCCATACCTGAAAATAAGTCCAATAATATAATTATGGACCTAGTTATGCTTGGTATGTGTGCCCTCAGTTGGACCAGCTGCGCTTCATGCATGATGCTGTTGCTTCTTGCTGATGGTAGTGGTGCAGTGGCGGACGACCAGAGATTGTGCCTATGGAGCCCGTCCAGTCATCTCTTGGGGGTCTTCAGGGTAAACTCCCCCCTCACAATTCCATGGACTAGCCTCGGTCCCGCCACGGCAAGGGGTCATTTTCGCAGATATTGAATTCAGATCACAGTTCAGTCCTGTAATGGAGGCATCCCTCACATTCTCCCTCATATCTCGCTATGATATACGACAATTCTGAAAGTATTACTGCCATAGTTAAGGGCCAAGCTGAGTGTTAATTTTCATGACCTACTTTTCCCATCTCCTTCAGCATCTCCCAATATTAATCAGCTCTCTCATCCTCTTTATCATCGACGTGAAGGTTTGCTGGACCGCTTCCAACTGCTGAAATGAACCCACCTCGAAAGGATCCACAGCTGGCATGGTACTCAATTAAGGTGCTGGCGTTGAGTAGCTAACAGCCACAAACTAGATAGACCATGCAGAAACAGTGGATGAATGTAAATAGACCAGACATAGTAGATGAAGGTATAGGTAGAACAGACACGAAAGTTAAGGTAGATATAGACCATGCACGGTAGATGAAGGTAGAACCCGCGCTCTGAAGACAGTGATAATCTCTTTTCTTCTTTTGTTCGGAACGTTCGCAAAAGCCACCTCGTGTCACCTGCCTCCTGCAGTCATTGTTGTTGCGTGGTCACTAACCTTCACCTATAAATACTCATCTTAATTCCCAGGTTGCGAACGAGTTCCTTCTCTAGGTAGAGATGTCCCGTTGTTCCTCTACTATATGCATTCGATCTCAGAATATCCGATTTGGTTCCGTTGAACTGCATCTTGCTCTCTTGGGGCAGTTGTATATATGCGGCGCGTATACGTATATACAACTGCCGCAAGCCATCATGTCTGTAATTTTCATCCGTAACCTCGTATCATCCGCAAATGACGATGTCGAGATGTGGCAAGCTTCTTCTATGTCGGGGATGTTAATGAGGAAGAGGATTGGACCAAGAGTTTTCCAGATGAATGTGCCAAACTCTTCTCTTCCAGACGTTTTTGATCTATACTTGCCAGCTGAGACTGCGTGTGTGTGTTTGTGACTATGGTAATCACCACAGCAATGATTTGATTGATCCTAGAAACTATCGTGACGCTATCATCCTGCAGATGATCACCATTACAACAATGGTTGGAATGGTCAAATAAACCAACACCTCTGAGGTGTTGCGATGGCCACAGAAGAAATAACATCAAAGGCCGCGAAACAAAGGCCGCCTTTGAGATCTCTGGTCTTTGTGCTTCTTATTAGGCAAGAAAAAGGAGGCCGGGGACTAGCCGAGGGTGATTTGGCTGTAATTTTCAATAAGGTAAAACGAGGCATTCAAGCGAATGAACGAGTCATGGATGCCATGACGGTTTTGCTGAGTTTTGAAGCTTTTGTTGCGAGCACAAAAGCGAATATTGGACTTAACAATAGCGAATATTGGACTTGCTCCCGCCAATCTTGTCCTTTTTAGCGACGCGAGAAACCAATCAGTGATCAGCCTTCTTGAGCTGCCGTCTTCTGTGCAACGCGGCCAAGTGTAATTGATCGCGTACACGCTACACGCTGCATGCTGCACGCATGTATGCTACACGCTGCCTGCTGCACGGTGCACGCAGCAGCTTCATGCTATACGGTGCACGCTACACGCAACACGCTGCACGCTGCATGCTACACGATACACGCTGCATGCTACATATACACTGCGCGCTTCATGCTACACGCTGCCATGCTACACGCTGCTCGGTGCACGCTGGACGTAGCACGCTTCACGCTACACGTACGCTGCTTGGTGCACGCTGAACGTTGCACACTTCACGCTACACACTTCACGGCTGCTTCTCGTTCAACTCCAACCCACTGAGTGCTTCTGCTGTACGGCTGCTGTTGGTTCAACATCAACTCATTCAACGCTGCTATACGGCAGCTGGTCATTAAACTTCAACCCATTCAACGCAACAATCTCAACGCAAGGCAGCTTGCGCTCAGCGCTCTCTATTGTGTGTGGTCAATCAAAGGCGCGTTATGAACGGCCATCGATCTGCCGCCTCGTACGGTGTTATTTTTACGACATTTTGAGTTTGTTTGTAAGTTGCTCGTAACGCGATGAAGGCGGCCGTACGCCATCTGTTCACCAGATGTCGGGCCGCCCCATGGGATGATCAAGGGCGTGTTATCGGTGGAACATCGACGGCCATTCTTCGGCCTCGCGTGGACTCGTAGGAGCTTCTCATTGTATCGTGGAATGAGACACACTGTGACACATGTATCATTTGACACGCTACATGCTACACGTCACAAGCTACACGTCATAAGCTACACGTCACAAGCTACACGTCACAAGCTACACATCACAAGCTACACGTCACAAGCTACACGTCACAAGCTACACGTCACAAGCTACACGTCACAAGCTCACTATTGATCGTCGCGTTTCATGACCGCCGCTTTGAAGAAAAATCGATGCAGCGACGCTGTTTCGTCCCGCGCATGAGACGAGCATCGATTTTTGCACACCGCGTAATTCCTTCAGACGGCGGGACGGTGGCGGGTGGCCACCGATACGCCGCCCATAACGTCGGTGACGCTGTGATGCCGCACGCGCTGCATCAGGCAAGTTGAAGACAACGCTTGTGCGTGACGTGTTGAATTGGATAATATTATCATTAAATCAACAACTGTCATATTCGTATTATTATGTCAAACATTCGTCCACTATTCAACGTTGAGTACGTAAATGCCACCAAAATACAGGTTTGCATTCAACACAATTTCTAAGTTCAACCGAAGTCCGCACACTCGACTTTATATTACGGTCGTTAGCCACCTTATTAAATAGCTCAACATCGAGCTAAAACTTCAACTTAAACAGCACTTCAACGTTGCTCTTAGTTCTCTGTGTCAACGTTGAACCTAGTTTGTGAGGAACACAATGTCAACTCTGCCCATAATGCGAACAGTCCCGCAACAAACATGGGTTGCTGACATCATAATGAGAGCATCCTAAGAGGTCGCGTGGTTGCCAAGTATTGGCTGCAGATTCACTGGCAAAATTAGCTCTGTTCTGATTGGCCGCTCCATGCGTGGCCGGCGATGGCGCGGCCGTAATGCCCAGCAGAGGCCACGTGGGGGCAGCTGCGGCGGATATCCGGTGCCTGCCCATCACGGCCCGTGCCCAGACCGGGCCCACATAACGGACCCGTGACCAGACCGGGCCCACATAACGGCCCTGTGCCCAGACCGGGCCCACGTAACGGACCCGTGCCCAGACCGGGCCCACATAACGGCCCCGTGACCAGACCGGGCCCACATAACGGACCCGTGCCCAGACCGGGCCCACATAACGGCCTCGTGAACCGGGCCCACATAGCGGACCCGTGCCCAGACTGGACCCACATAGCGGACCCGTCACTAGACCGGGCCCACATAACGGCCCCGTGCCCAGACCGGGACATGACGGGACGGTCTGAGGGAATTGAGGGGACGTGGTGCAGACCTGACCCTCGCTGTCATTGGCTTTGGGACGGTGGACGACGAAGGCGGTGCATCAGCGTGATTATGGAAGAAGATGTCTAAAAGTTATCATGAAGACTGGCTTCCCCATAGCTGAAAATGTCTCCAAATGCCCTCGCTTTCCTTTCCCTCTTCCCACCCCCGGTCCTCCCCAACCCTAATACCCTCAACATCCCAACGCCTTCCCTTGTTTCCCCTCGCTTGCACGGCCGTTTCCGGCACCTCCTCTGATATTCCCATGACTCACCTCCCCTCTTCCCCTCTTCCCCACTTCCCTCACTCTACCTTCCCTCGGTGTCATCTCGGCAGCCAGAGGCGGTTTGCTCCTGTCTTTCTATAGGCTCGCTCACACGAGGGGAAATGTTCCCCTCACCTCCCCTCAAATCAATGTCAGTGCCGCGACCTTGCAGCCTAGGCCGAGGGGAGCAGCACGTGCGCCCCCCACGGGGGCAGCGGCCCACTGACCTCCTTACGGCCTACATCCCCACCACACCCACCACCATCATCATTATCACCACTACCGCACCATCACATCATCACCCCATATCATCATCCCTCGTCACTCCACCACCTCCATCATCACCACAACTACAAGCAAATGACGTTGAAATAACGTTTATTCAACGTGATTTTAACGTCAGATGACTGGTGAGAGATCATCGTCACCACTTCTTAAACTCACCATCACCACCAGGGCACCATACCCGTACACTGACCACCGCCATTTATCGGCGGCCATCGTCAGTTATCGGCGGCCACTGTCAGTTATCGGCGGCCACCGTCAGTTATCGGCGGCCACTGTCAGTTATCGGCGGCCACCGTCAGTTATCGGCAGCCACCGTCAGTCATCGGCGGCCACCGTCAGTTATCGGCAGCCACCGTCAGTTATCGGCGGCCACCGTCAGTTATCGGCGGCCACCGTCAGTTATCGGCGGTCACCGTCAGTTATCGGTGGCCACCGTCAGTTATCGGCGGCCATGACGCCGCTTTCCCTGCGTTCGTTGCGTGCGTATAAACGAGCGCATGCGTCAAGGCCGCGCGTAACGAGCGCTGCCCTCTGACCTGCGAGGCGACGTGCGCACCGACGTACATATACGCAGGCGTCATGCGTCTACCTAACACAAACGTTAACACAAAGTCACAAACACATATACAAGCGTGTTAACACAAGCGTGTTAATACAAGCGTGTTAACACAAGCGTGTGATGAGGAAGAAGATTGCGTAATTGCGTACGCGTATCAACGCTCCGATAATTTGGCCGCGTGAAAGTTCCGCAAATTCGTATCGCGTAATTATGGCTTCTTACGCCGTCGTTTACGCAGAACTGCGCGACCCTCATCGATAATTCGCCTGCACTCAAGTCGCCTGCACACAAGTCGCCTGCACTCAAGTCGCCTGCACACAAGTCACCTGCAGCCAAGTCACCTGCACCCAAGTCGCCTGCACCCAAGTCGCCTGCACTCAAGTCGCCTGCACTCAAGTCGCCTGCACTCAAGTCGCCTGCACTTAGGTCGCCTGCAGCCAAGTCGCCTGCACTCAAGTCGCCTGCACCCAAGTCGCCTGCACTCAAGTCGCCTGCACTCAAGTCGCCTGCACTCAGGTCGCCTGTTCGCCGGCACCCAAGTCGCCTGCACCCAAGTCGCCTGCACCCAAGTCGCCTGCACCCAAGTCGCCTGCACCCAAGTCGCCTGCACCCAAGTCGCCTGCACCCCAGTCGTCGACAGGAGAAGGCAGGAGGAGGCATTATAAGGCTACACGCCTTATACTTATAAGGCTACATGCTCGAAGGAGGTAGGAGTAAGGATGAGCCAGGACGATGCAGAAGGAGGATGAAGGAGACGGGAAAGACAGATAGAGACAGGAGAAGGTAAGAGGAGGCTGGAATTAAGAGGCAGCATGAGGCAGAGAGAGGCGGCAGGATGAGGCGGTAAGAGGCAGGAGGAAGCGGTAGGAGAAGGTTGGAGGAGGCATGACGATCGAGGCATGCAACAGGAGGCCGGAGAAGGCCAGAGGAGCTAGGTACGAGAAGATAGGAAGAATCAGAAAAAGGCAGGAGAAGGCAGTAGAAGGCAGGATAAAGTAGTATAAGGCGGGAAAGGCAGGAGAAGGCAGGAGAAGGCATGAGAAGGCAGGAGAAGGCAGGAGAAGGCAGGAGAAGGCAGGAGAAGGCAGAAGAAGGCAGGAGAAGGCAGGAGAAGTAGGGAAAAGGCAGTAGAAGGCAGGAGAAGGCAGAAGGCAGGAGAAGGCAGGAGAAGGCAGGAGAAGGCGAGCTAATGCAGAAGAGGCAAGAGAAGGCAGGAGAAAACGAGCTAATGCAGAAGAGGCAAGAGAAGGCAGGAGAAGGCGAGCTAATGCAGAAGAGGCAAGAGAAGGCAGGAGAAGGCGAGCTAATGCAGAAGAGGCAAGAGAAGGCAGGAGAAGGCTGGAGAAGGCAGGAGAAGGCGAGCTAATGCAGAAGAGGCAAGAGAAGGCAAGAGAAGGCAAGAGAAGGCAAGAGAAGGCTGGAGAAGGCAGGAGAAGGCAGGAGAAGGCAGGAGAAGGCCCCCAAACTCGCCAGATCAATGACTGCTGCGCGACGCGCTTCATAGAAAGCGATTAACGCGGTGCTAGTGACCAGCGGTGCTAGTGACTAGCGGTGCTAGTGACCAGCGGTGCTAGTGACCAGCGGTGCTAGTGACCAGCGGTGCTAGTGACCAGCAGTGCTAGTTAGTAATCAGCGGTGCTAGTGACCAGCACTGCTAGTGACCAGCGGTGCTAGTGACCAGCGGTGCTTATAGTGACCAGCGGTGCTAGTGACCAGCACTGCTAGTGGCCAGCGGTGCTAGTGACCAGCGCTGCTAGTGACCAGCGCTGCTAGTGACCAGCGGTGCTAGTGACCAGCGTTGCTAGTGAATTACGAATTTGCGACTGAATTAAAAATGAACCCAAATTTTGATTTGTAGTTAATTGGACCCGTCTGATCACCAAAAATAAGCATTCTGAGTCAGCCAGCGTAGTCAGCCAGCTGAGCGCAGTCAGCCAGCTGAGCGCAGTCAGCCAGCTGAGTGCAGTCAGCCAGAAGAGCGCAGTCAGCCAGCTCAGCGTGTCAGCCAGCTGAGCGTGTCAGCCAGCGGAGCGTGTCAGCCAGCCCGCCGCCAGCGTCAAGCAGCATCTCAGGTAGTCCAGCTGAGCATGTCTTTCATGCGCAGTCTTGCATTACTGCGCGTGTTGCGCTCGCCCCGCAGATTTTCGTTTGTGCGCAATCTTTCTAATACATATTCATGTGTTGACGCACATTTATCTTTGACGCAGCCATCTGATTAATCGTTTCGTAGGATTCAATTAAAGTTTTAATTAGTGCATCAATATCGAGACGCGTCCTGCAGTTCGAGGAATCCTGCGTCAGCTGAGGGCATCACCGCCGAGCGCCGTCAGCCAATCAGGCGCGAGTGTCAGCAACTTCAACTCAGGCGCCCAATCGTGAGCATCGCGCGTTGAGAAATGCGTCAGTATGCGCTTGGCGCGAGTGCAGTGAGGGTGTTGCGCGCGCTGCCTCCAGTCACGACGCTTCCTACATGTGCAGTGAACTTGACACGTGCGCGCTAAAGATATTCCTACAACATCGTAAACCAGCTTCTCTGTATGGGACTTCCGAATAAAAGTGTACGTAGTCTTAAAGTGTCTCTTCGATTTTTTCCAGAAATATGTTTCATAATGTGCATTTCAGGCGGCAAGGTTAGCGTCTGCATTTCAGGGTCAGCGACTGCATTCCCGACGAAATGTTGAATTGCCGTGAGCAGAGGCTGCTCGTTAGTGTTGAATTGCCGTGAGCAGAGGCTGCTCGTTAGTGTTGAATTGCCGTGAGCAGAGGCTGCTCGTTAGTGTTGAATTGCCGTGAGCAGAGGCTGCTCGTTAGTGTTGAATTGCCGTGAGCAGAGGCTGCTCGTTAGTGTTGAATTGCCGTGAGCAGAGGCTGCTCGTTAGTGTTGAATTGCCGTGAGCAGAGGCTGCTCGTTAGTGTTGAATTGCCGTGAGCAGAGGCTGCTCGTTAGTGTTGAATTGCCGTGAGCAGAGGCTGCTCGTTAGTGTTGAATTGCCGTGAGCAGAGGCTGCTCGTTAGTGTTGAATTGCCGTGAGCAGAGGCTGCTCGTTAGTGTTGAATTGCCGTGAGCAGAGGCTGCTCGTTAGTGTTGAATTGCCGTGAGCAGAGGCTGCTCGTTAGTGTTGAATTGCCGTGAGCAGAGGCTGCTCGTTAGTGTTGAATTGCCGTGAGCAGAGGCTGCTCGTTAGTGTTGAATTGCCGTGAGCAGAGGCTGCTCGTTAGTGTTGAATTGCCGTGAGCAGAGGCTGCTCGTTAGTGTTGAATTGCCGTGAGCAGAGGCTGCTCGTTAGTGTTGAATTGCCGTGAGCAGAGGCTGCTCGTTAGTGTTGAATTGCCGTGAGCAGAGGCTGCTCGTTAGTGTTGAATTGCCGTGAGCAGAGGCTGCTCGTTAGTGTTGAATTGCCGTGAGCAGAGGCTGCTCGTTAGTGTTGAATTGCCGTGAGCAGAGGCTGCTCGTTAGTGTTGAATTGCCGTGAGCAGAGGCTGCTCGTTAGTGTTGAATTGCCGTGAGCAGAGGCTGCTCGTTAGTGTTGAATTGCCGTGAGCAGAGGCTGCTCGTTAGTGTTGAATTGCCGTGAGCAGAGGCTGCTCGTTAGTGTTGAATTGCCGTGAGCAGAGGCTGCTCGTTAGTGTTGAATTGCCGTGAGCAGAGGCTGCTCGTTAGTGTTGAATTGCCGTGAGCAGAGGCTNTGCGGTGGTCGTAAGTGGTGCGGTGGTCGTAAGTGGTGCGGTGGTCGTAAGTCGTGCAGTGGTCGTAAGTGGTGCGGTGGTCGTAAGTGGTGTGGTGGTCGTAAGTGGTGCGATAGTCGTAAGTGGTGCGGTGGTCGTAAGTCGTGCAGTGGTCGTAAGTCGCGCGGTGTTCGTAAGTGGTGCGGTGGTCGTAAGTTTTCGATGCTCGTAAGGCTCGCTGATGATTTGTATGATTCACAATGATGTACATACGACGTCGTAAGCATCAGGCTTACGAGGCATCGAATATTCTACGGAAAACTCAACATCACGACAAAATGAATGCAAATGTTAATGAAATAAATGGACTTCAACATGAAAGTTCAAAACGCACAAACAGGAATTTGACTTTTTCGTTGTCTCTACAGAGGTTGTTTAATTTAAGTAAGCTTTATTTTGATTGCTATAGGTTTCTTGCATTTAACGGCTATTTAACAAATTGTTTTGTTATCATATACACTGTTAGAAAAAACGGTGAAAAAAACGGTCCCACCGGCGTTCTAGTGGCCGGTCGCCCCGTGAAAATAAACGGTTTCTCCGTTATTATCAGATGTTTTACGGTTTTCTAGTGTAAAATTAGAATAAGAACGGCGACGCGATGTTTCTTTTCACGTTCCGACCGGCCACTGAAACGCCGGTAATACCGTTAACGGGAATTTTTCTAACAGTGTACGAACGAGTGTTGTATGTATGTCGTTTGAATATGTTGAACGGCTATCTTGATTATTTTGTATTCTATTTAGGCAGCTTTTTGAATAGTTTTTTGTTGTTTAATTCGTATTTTTTGTACGAGATGTTTGTTTTGCAGCTTGTGTAAAAGTTTAAAGCTGTCAATTACAATTCCTTATCGATCGTTTGTATATTAGTTTCACTAGGATTAATAGTTTCAGGTCGCTTTGCAAGTGAATTTTTTACAAGCTACAGCTCAGGCTTTTCAAAACTTAAGATACGTTATTTTAATGTTAGGCTACATATAACAAGCTGTTTCATTAATTGTGTTGAGCAGCTGTTCCTATAAGGCTGCTTTTATCAGTTGAGCAGCTGTTTCTGTAGGTTCCTTATATCTGTTGCAGCAGCTGTTTCTATAGAGGTTGCCCTCATCTGTTGAGCGGCTGAATTTCGAAACAAAGCAATCGTTGTTTTTACATTGTTTTATCTTTCCTAGATGTTATTTTTTCGATGTTGTAGACGTTTACTTCTATGGTTTTTCTTATACAAATCGGACAAGCTGCACGTGGACATGTTGCAGGCACGCTGCACGTGTGGGTCAAATCTTATAACTGATATCTGACACACTTTTACCTGTCTGATTGATCTGAAATTTTGCACACTTGTGTGAAGTCAGAGGCAATGCATGAATCAATTAACAGAATAAATAATTTTGAAAAGAAATTTATATATTAAAAAAAATTTATATATAGGTATTCAAAAAATTTAAAAGGTAATTTTTTTAATTTTTGAAAATTAGATGAGAAATTCATTGTACATCTGTAAGATTGGAGATACTGGATTCTTTGGAAGTGTTGTCTTTAAAAAGTAGTTTTTAAACGTATATTATCAGATTTAACTTTCTCAGGTGAGTCGAGTGGGGCGCAAGTTGGACGTGAGTGGGGCGAGAGTAGGACGTGAGTGGGGCGAGAGTGGGGCGAGAGTAGGACGTGAGTGGGGCGAGAGTAGGACGTGAGTGGGGCGCGAGTGGGGCGAGAGTAGGACGTGAGTGGGGCGCGAGTGGGGCGTGAGTGGGTGCAGGTTGCAGCGTGTTTGGTAGGCCGGGCAATTAAGTGCAGCCTGCAGCCTGTAGGCCTACGGTCTGCACAATATCTTTATTGAGGTCGTTAGGAGCTTTACGATGTGACGCCGCACCCCCGACGGGGAGAGGTTTACCCTCAGGGGGGAGGGGGGTATGGGAGTGCGTACCCTCCGGGGGGGAACGACTTGAGTTTACTTCCGCGAGGAAAATGCCGGCATTCCCCATTACGTCGATCACTATCTCGCTAATCATCATGACGCCAATCACTATCGCGCCGATCACCATCGCGCCAATCATCATCGCGCCAATCACTATCGCGCCAATCACCACCGCGCCAATTATCATGACGCCAATCACTATCGCGCCAATCACCATCGCGCCAATCATCATGACGCCAATCACTATCGCGCCAATGACCATCGCATTAATCACCATCGCGCCAATCACCATCGCATTAATCACCACCGCGCCAATCACCACCGCGCCAATCACCATCGCGCCAATCATCATCGCGTCATTCATCATCGCGCAAATCACCATCGTGCCAATCACCATCACACCAATCATCATCGCGCCAATCATCATCGCGCCATTCATCATCGCGCAAATCACCATCGTGCCAATCACCATCACACCAATCATCATCGCGCCATTCACCATAACACCAATCACCATACTGTCTGTCTTCGTCAATCTGGGTAGCGGCAGAGGGTATCGGCAGGGGTAACCAACAGAGGGTAGCGTCGGAGGATAGCGGCCTGTCTCTTATACACATCTAGATGTGTATAAGAGACAGGCTCATGGGCAGTTGCAACGAATGGAATACACAATTTAAGCAATTTGGGGAAGGTTTAGGCCTTATATAATCATTTCCATTGACTAGTTTTCATGTGTTCATCTGAAGNGTGAACCCTTCATTGATACCCTTCAATATTTCCTTCTTTATTCCATTCAGTATTTCTTTCGTAATTCCTCTCATTCCGCGCGACAAAGAATGTTGCATTTACTGGGGTATTGTTGTTATCTTATTGTAGCCATTGAACGGGCGGCGTTCAGCCGTCCATGAGATGGCTGACGTTCAGCCGTCCATGAGATGGCTGACGTTCAGCCGTCCATGAGATGGCTGGCGTTCAGCCGTCCATGAGATGGCTGACGTTCAGCCGTCCATGAGATGGCTGACGTTCAGCCGTCCATGAGATGGCTGGCGTTCAGCCGTCCATGAGATGGCTGACGTTCAGCCGTCCATGAGATGGCAGACGTTCAGCCGTCCAAGAGATGGCAGACGTTCAGCCGTCCAAGAGATGGCTGACGTTCAGCCATCCATGAGATGGCTGACGTTCAGCCGTCCATGAGATGGCTGACGTTCAGCCGTTCATGAGATGGCTGACGTTCAGCCACTGCACTCTGCACCGCTCAACAAAATCAACCTACTCGCGGAAGCTCCAACCCACAATCTCGGTTTGTTTTGTGTGGTTAGTGTTATTTTTGCTCAAACCAACGACTTTTTGGTTTGCAACTCGCGCATGCTTTGGCCGCCAATACGCCGGCCAAGATTCATAACTGTGGCTGGCGTAATTAGCGCTGTAACTAATTGACGGCTAAACAAATGACGACTCAAAGCGCCGTTTGCGGCAGAGCACACAGTGCCCCCCCCCTCCTGAGGGTGCCCCGCTCTGCAGTTGCTGGCAGTTTTTTGCTGGCAAATTCCTGCTACGGAAATTATTTGCTGGCAGTTGCGGCAAAATTCTTGCCGGTGTAATTATTTGCTGGAAGCTGCAGCTGGTAATGAGGGCTTTAAGAGCGGCGTGCTGGGGAGGGGGAAGGGAGCGTGCAGGGGGCGACGCCATGCGGGGGGGGGGCGTGCTGGAGGAGCAGCGCCAGACGATGTGGCTCGATCTGAAGTTCATAATTTTTTTAGCGCCTTTTTCCAGGGTGCATGGTTTACTTGATGCTGTTTTCTAAGCTGCATGGTTTGCTTGACTCTCTTTTCTAGGGTGCATGGTTTACTTGACGCTCTTTACTAGGGTGCATAATGTACATGACGCCCTTTTTTAGGGTTCATGGTTTACTGGACGTCTTTTCTGTGGTGCATAGTTTACTTGACGCTCTTTACTAGGGTGCACGGTTTACCTGACGCTGTTTTCTAGGGTGCATGGTTTACTTGACGCTCTTTACTAGGGTGAATGGTTTACCTGACGCTTTTTACTAGGGTGCACGGTGTACCTGACGCTCTTTACTCCCGTGGCCCCCGTCTGCCGAAGCGGCCCGCACGCTCTCGCTTTCCTGGGTTCTATTATCAAAACTCGCTCCAGTGCACGTAGCCGCCTAAGTACATGTACCGTTCCAAGTACACGTAGCGGCCTAAGTACACGTAGCGTCCTCGCTACACGTAGCGTCCTAAGTACACGTAGCGGCCTAAGTGTTCGCAGTAGCCTAAGTACACGTAGCGGCTATTTTCTCGTCTGTGATTGGGTGGTTCTGCTCGAAATATTGTCAGTAATTGGGTGACGGAGTTAGCAAGGTTTTTTTGATTGTGCGGCCTGACGCACATGTGCTGTGTTTATCCCATTGCTGATTTAGACTGATGCTGTACAGGATTTAGACTGATGTTGTACAGGATTTAGACTGATGCTGTACAGAATTTAGACTGATGTTGTCCAGGATTTAGACTGATGCTGAACAGGATTTAGACTGATGCTGTACAGGATTTAGACTGATGCTGTACAGGATTTTGACTGATGCTGTACAGGATTTAGACTGATGCTGTACAGAATTTAGACTGATGCTGTATAGGATTTTGACTGATGCTGTACAGGATTTAGACTGATGCTGTACAGGATTTGGACTGATGCTGAACAGGATTTAGACTGATGCTGTACAGGAGGAGATGAGTGACGCGCTGGTATACGGGATGACTTTTTGTAAGATCGACACTGTTCCCTATAGGAAACCGTGCTTTATTTCTGCTTTATTCCTATACAATAGTGATGCTGTCTCCTCGCATCCTGATACGTTGCAGCCCCAGGTCACGCTGGCGTACCGCCTTGGTATTCTTCCGCCCAGGCGCGGAAGACACTCAGCTGTCCCAAGGCGACTCTGAGTGGCTCTACTGTACACGTGTTTTGCTGACGCTGCACGCGCAAAAAATTGGCTCGCCAATTGTCTAATGTTTTATAATCTAATAATGTTATTCTCGCGTTTGTCCACCAGGAGAAGCACGCGCCCCCCTGATGGAGCTGGGCGGCGAAGGCTTGTCCGGTCGACTCCTGGACACGCACAACCTGCTCTTCGGTGAGCCTTCTTCTTCCTCACCTTACCCACCGCTTCCTGATGCACACCTCCGCTTGCACCACAACCCACCACACCCGCCCACCTCCGCGGCCCACCAGGACCTCCACACGGGGTCTACCTACAGACCTTGGGAGGCTGACCCCCACCATCACTCGCATGTGTTGGTCCACCAACCAACCCCCCTGTCCATGGCGCAACACTACGCCACGGCCACACCCTTCAGTGAGGGAGGGTATCCACACCACGTCCACCCAGCATACCCCCCACACCCATCGCATGTAGCTGCACATCACCCAAAACTGCCCCCATTCACGGCCTTCTCCCCGGAACGTGGGTCTCCACTTCCCTCTTTTTCCACCTTGCCGTCCCCTCACGCGCGCTACCCTCTCGTACCCGCCCCGATGCAGGCTCGGCACATCCCCACGGTACAGCAGCAGATGATGGATGAGCGACAGATACACATGCTCGAGGCAGCTAACACCACAAACCACACCACTCCTCATCCTTCCCCGGTTACTCATCCTCAGCCTTCCCCTGTAACTCCGCATCCTCATCCTTCCCCCGTCACTACTCATCCGACTCATCAGTCCCCACATACGCCTATTGCAGTTCCTCATCCTCCACACCCCTCCCCGGCCACTCCAGGTGGCGTTGCTCCCTCTCATCCCCAGCCTTCCCCAGGCTCACAATCTACCATCCCCGCAGCAAGTCCTTCCCCAGCCTCCTCTACCACCCACCTCACTGGCCCCGCGGACCTACAACAACTCTCTAACAACCACAACATTGCCGGTAACGCCAACGGGCTGGAGTCTTTCAACAACGGAATTGTGTCTTCCGCCTGCAATGGGGCGAATCCCAGCAACGGACTCAACGGGCTCAACGGGCCAAGCCCAAGACGTCCGTCATTGAAGCGATCGTGTCGGTCCTCTAACAACGACGCGAGTTTCTCCGACGATACCGCTAGCAGCGACGCCTGCGAGGAAAGTGGACAAGTTGCAAGCATTTCGTCCAGCGGCGGTCCACCTGACCCGACATCGTCGGCCTCAGGAGGTCGGTTGTCGGGCCACATGCCCGACTCGTCCTCCCGCATCGGGCATGGCCAAAGTAACGGGGATGACGGTGACACGGGGGCTTTTCGCCACCCCCCACAGCAAGCGGCTCCCCCTTCCACTGACGATCCTCCTGAAAAACCCGTGAAGAAAAAGCGGAAAAGATGCGGCGACTGCGCGGGCTGTCAGAAGAAGGACAACTGCGGCGACTGCGCGCCCTGCAGGAACGACAAGAGCCACCAGATCTGCAAGATGCGCCGCTGCGACAAGCTCATCGAGAAAAGGGTGAGTACGACTAATAAATTATGAATACAACTTAGAGATTATGAGTACGGCTCATTTATGTGATTGGATTTAACCTGAGGAGTCTGGGTGATGAGTACAACTTTTTATTGGTACTATGGGTAATGCTCACTTCTATTCGTACATATTATCTGAGTTGTGTGGGTGGTGAATACTACGTATGAATGCATGAGTGCGCCTTACATGTGAGAGTAAACAAAATTAAAAGCTTACATGCATACTCACGTCAAGCGTACAGTGACTCACGTCGAGCTGTGCCGCGACTCGTGACGATACGGTGCGTGTAACTCAGCAGTGAAATGAACACGGGAGTTTATCAACACTAACATGACGAACCTCGCAGTCCCCTATTTAAATGAATAAATACGAATAGAATGTTAGAATATATACCTACGTCCTCAACACGTCCCGACACGTTGCATAAACTCAACATGCTTCAACATGTCCCTAGCACGTCAATGACACGTCACATTGAGGGCATGTCAAGGTCACAATCATCAGTCAATTAAAAGCGCCATAGGTTAGCGGGTTCCCCACAGCTTCAGGGGCCGCAGCCCCAGCAGCTCTGCGTCCAGCAACCCCGAGGAGGAGAGGCTAACGTGTTTCTGGACGGATTGTCATTTGTTTTCTGGTTTCTGTTGTCTTCAGAAGATTGTGGCAGTAAATCAAATTATTGCTTTGCTTGGCGAATTTTTGTTCGTTATTACCACTGCACTTTTGACTCTGCCGAAAACAATTTTCTTCTTCTGCTGCTGCTTTTGCTGCACTTCTAATCTATGCGGCCTTTTTAGGGCATTTTCTCATTTATGGAAAAAAATGCGCTATTGTGCTCGCCATGTCCGTCCGTCTGTCTGTCCGTCTGTCTGTGACTTAACGTTTTCGTCGATGAGAAAATGCGCTCTCTGTCACTCACTGCATTGAGTACTGAGTTATATATTTTTTATTTTTTCCGTAATTCATAACTTGTGTTCGCTCGATCTGTTACTGCGTGACGTCAGCTTATTTTCTTAACGTAAGTAGCTACCGTTACGTCTGCAACGTCAGGCAACTGCGGCAGCGTCAGCTCAGTATTCTTCCCCTCGTTTCAATATCCCCAAGCCCTCCCCTCTTCCCCATGTCCTCCCCCCTCCCCCACGTACATACCTGAGGCACTTCCTTCCCCAGCTGTCCTTGCCGCCGCGTGTGCGCTGCCTCCCCACGCCTCCCCATCCTCCTCACGCCTCCCCTTCGTCTTCCCTCACCGCCCCTCAGCCCCAGCCCCCTCACATCATCCCAAAGCAGCTTCCTGCCCCCCCTACCCTCACCTCCCCAACTCGTGTATTTCTGGTTTTCTGTATATCATTGTGTACGTATATTGTGCACGACTGTACAGCAGCGGCATGTACAGCAGAAGCTGTACAGTAGCGGCTGTACAGTAGCGGCTGTACAGTAGCGGCTGTACAGTAGCGGTCTTACCCTCAGTCCTTGTTACCCTCAGTCCTTCTTACCCTCAGTCCTTCTTACCCTCAGTACTTCTTACCCTCAGTCCTTCTTACCCTCAGTCCTTCTCACCCTCAGTCCTTCTTACCCTCAGTCCTTCTTACCCTCAGTCCTTCTTCCTACCTTCGACGTGTTACCCTCTTTTCCAACCATTTATTTACAACACTTCTCTTTAACTTCACTTCTTGTCTGTCTGTCTGTCTGTCTGTCTGCTACAAATCTTGTAATCGAAATTTAATACACTTCTACTTATCCTGTCTCTTATACACATCTAGATGTGTATAAGAGACAGTACCTATACACTTATAATATCGTAATAAATNACCGCGCCAATTATCATGACGCCAATCACTATCGCGCCAATCACCATCGCGCCAATCATCATGACGCCAATCACTATCGCGCCAATGACCATCGCATTAATCACCATCGCGCCAATCACCATCGCATTAATCACCACCGCGCCAATCACCACCGCGCCAATCACCATCGCGCCAATCATCATCGCGTCATTCATCATCGCGCAAATCACCATCGTGCCAATCACCATCACACCAATCATCATCGCGCCAATCATCATCGCGCCATTCATCATCGCGCAAATCACCATCGTGCCAATCACCATCACACCAATCATCATCGCGCCATTCACCATAACACCAATCACCATACTGTCTGTCTTCGTCAATCTGGGTAGCGGCAGAGGGTATCGGCAGGGGTAACCAACAGAGGGTAGCGTCGGAGGATAGCGGCTGAGGGTAGCGTTAGAGGATAACAGAAAAGTATAGTGATAGAGTACAGCGGTAGAAGATAACGACAGAGGTCAACGGCTGAGGGTAACGGCTGAGGGTAGCTGCAGAGGCTAACGACAGAGGGTATTGGCTGAGATAGCCTTAGAGTAGCCTCAGAGGGTAGCGGGAAAAGGTAGTGTGGTTGAGGGTAGCGGCAGAGGGTAGCGGTAGCGACCGCGGAAACGGCTTACGGAAACGGCGCTGAGCGATGCGCTCCCCTATTGGAAACTGAAGCCGAACTATCGCCGCCCCGCGGGTGTAGTTCAGCTGACGCCGCGTGTAGACTGGCGTGTTGATTAGCGTGTAGACTGGCGTGTTGTGAGGCGTGTATTACAAAGTGTTCACCGATGTGTTGTCTTGTAACCTTATAATAAGTTTAGGACTTCTCAGTCCACTGTCACGCTGATGCGCCGCCTTCGTCGTCCTCCGTCTCCAACTTATCGATAGGCAGGTCACCCCGCCCTCGGGTCGTGCGTAAACGAAGGCGGTGCATCAGCGTGAGCATAGACGAGGACGTCCTAAACTTTTGAACATGGCGTTAAAAAAAAGTTTAAAAAAATTAAGAGATTGTAAGTTCATCAGCCAATCATTGACGGCCTTTCAAGCAAAATCCACCAATCATAGACAAGAGAATAGAGCGTAAGTACTTACGTTCACTTAGCGAATTTTGAAAGTATGGCCCCAGGTGTATCGAGTGAGTTGACACTTGGAAGCTGGTTTGCGTGTAGCGTGTAGTAGACACGTGCAGCAGCGTGGTGATGCTACACGCTAGCGTGATGCTAGGGTACAATATTGTTGCCACAACCCACTGCGCGCTAAAATTTACACGTTACACGCTACAAACAACATGTTTCAAAATACACCTTTTCACACAACACGCTACACCTTTTCACGCAACACGCTACACCTTTTCACACAACACGCTACACCTTTTCACACAACACGCTACACCTTTTCACACAACACGCTACACCTTTTCACGCAACACGCTACACCTTTTCACACAACACGCTACACCTTTTCACTCAACACGCTACACCTTTTCACACAACACAACAAAAGCGCTGCCCATTCAACTCTGCCGCTCTTCACACGGATCACCTTTCCCGGGAGGCCGTCGCGTGTGCTGCCCGTAGGAATACCATCGATACCTTGCATTGTCCGTAGGAATACCATTGATACCTTGTATTGCCCGTAGTAGAAACATCGATACCTTGCGCTGCCGTACGAATACCATTAATACCTTGAATTTCCGTACGAATACCATTGATACCTTGCATTGCCGTAAGAATATCATTGATACCTTGTATTGCCGTAAGAATACCATTGATACCTTGTATTGCTGGTAGCCGCCCAAATCAGTAACGTAATTCTTATGGCTCTACATGTGAACCCTTCATTGATACCCTTCAATATTTCCTTCTTTATTCCATTCAGTATTTCTTTCGTAATTCCTCTCATTCCGCGCGACAAAGAATGTTGCATTTACTGGGGTATTGTTGTTATCTTATTGTAGCCATTGAACGGGCGGCGTTCAGCCGTCCATGAGATGGCTGACGTTCAGCCGTCCATGAGATGGCTGACGTTCAGCCGTCCATGAGATGGCTGGCGTTCAGCCGTCCATGAGATGGCTGACGTTCAGCCGTCCATGAGATGGCTGACGTTCAGCCGTCCATGAGATGGCAGACGTTCAGCCGTCNCTAGGGTGCATAATGTACATGACGCCCTTTTTTAGGGTTCATGGTTTACTGGACGTCTTTTCTGTGGTGCATAGTTTACTTGACGCTCTTTACTAGGGTGCACGGTTTACCTGACGCTGTTTTCTAGGGTGCATGGTTTACTTGACGCTCTTTACTAGGGTGAATGGTTTACCTGACGCTTTTTACTAGGGTGCACGGTGTACCTGACGCTCTTTACTAGGGTGCATGTTTTACTTGACGCTCTTATCTAGGGTGCATGGTTTACTTGACGCTCTTTACTAGGGTGCATGTCCTTGACGCTCTTTTCTAGGGTACATGGTTTACTTGACGCTCTTTACTAGGGCGCATGGTTTACTTGACGCTCTTTCCTAGGGTGTATGGTTTACTTGACGCTCTTTTCTAGAGTGCAAGGTGTACCTGACGCTCTTTACTAGGGTGCATGGTGTACCTGACGCTCTTTACTTAGGTGCATGGTGTACCTGACGCTCTTTACTTAGGTGCATGGTGTACCTGACGCTCTTTGCTATGGTGCATGGTTTACGTGACGCTCTTTACTAGGGTACATGGTTTACTTGACGCTCTTTACTAGGGTGCATGGTTAACCTGACGCTTTTTACTAGGGTGCATGGTGTACCTGATGCTCTTTACTAGGGTGCATGGTTTACTTGACGCTCTTATCTAGGGTGCATGGTTTACTTGACGCTCTTTACTAGGGTGCATGTATTACTTGACGCTCTTTCATAGGGTGTATGGTTTACTTGACGCTCTTTTCTATACTGTGCATGGTGTACCTGACGCTCTTTGCTACGGTGCATGGTTTACTTGACGCTCTTTTTTGGGGTGTGAGAATTATTTTTCGCTCTTTTCTCGGATGCAGGACTTGTTTGAAAATAGTTTGAAAATAGGATTTTTCTCGTTTAGCAGGACTAAAAAATAGTCTCGGACTATTTTCAAGTCTTTGGTTTACTTGGCATTCTTTTCTAGGTTGCATAGTTTATTGTCGCTCTTTTCTAGGGTGCAAGGTTTACTTGGTACT